GACGAGTTCAGCTGTTGACTATTCAGTAGGTGAATTAGTTTGTTGACTAATTGGTAAATGGGTTTAACTATGAACTAGTGAGTGAAGAGATGAAGCTGCGAGATGTTGACTAGTCAGTAGATGAGGTCAGTTCTGTGCTGGTTTGTTCTGACCTTAGTAAATGAGGTTACTTGTTAACTTGTCAGTAGATGAGTTTATTTGTTGACTAGTCAGTAGATAAGTCGATATGATGACTAAACATTTGATGAGTTCACCTGTTGACTATTTAGTAAATAAGTTTACCCATTGACTAATGAGATTTTACATGTTGACTAGTCAGTGGATGAGTTCATGTGCAGACTCATCAGTAGATGAGGTCAGTTCTGTGCCGGTTTGTTTTGGTAAAACTAATACTGCGTGTGTGTGTGTGTGTGTGTGTGTGTGTGTGTGTGTGTGTGTGTGAGTGTGTATGATCTCAGTGTTTCTCTATGGCTGTGGGAGATAATTGACTTGTACATTCACTGGCATGCACAGTCCGTTTATTTGGACAAATCTGTCTGCGCCTGCTTTCCGGAGCAGCTCAAATCTACAGCGCAACACTTTTGCCAGAGGCTGCTTTTATTTTCAAGGCTGCTTTTGTTTTCAAGGCTTCTGTCCTGCTTTGTGTTCGTCTGACTGATAAGTAGTACTGACCGATTTCATTTGTCTTTTTTTACTGCAAGACATTCTCTCTCTCTCTCTCTCTCTCTCTCTCTCTCTCTCTCTCTCTCTCTCTCTCTCTCTCTCTCTCTCTCTCTCTCTCTCTCTCGCTAAATTCCGTTCATATGAGCTGTGTTGACATCTTGTCAGGTATTGCCAATGCATTGTAGTGTACAAACAATAATAATAAAATAATGTAGTGATTATATAATACATATGTGCATATAAAAATTCATTCGAAATTTGATAAATGCATATACAAGTAAGAAAAAAGTAATAGATTAAAAAAGAAAAAAATAAGCCAATAAAATAAATTCAACACAATTATACATTTAAACAAAACACACAGTTGCCTATTGATTCAGATAGTTTGAATTAATGTTTATGACTAGTTATTAAAACTTAATGAAAGTAATAATAATATAAAAATAAAGGTTTGTGGAAATCATAAAAGCAAACATGTTTGTTCGCGGAAAAAGTCTGTGTTATGTCCCAAACTGCCTCCCATAGTGCAGTGCTAAGTGTTTTGTCTTTCTTAAGTCTAATTTAAGGACACCAGGGTAATTTTGGTAGTTGCTAGCGTAGTTGTAGTGGTTGCTAGGCAGTTGCTGTGTGTTTGTGAGGGTGTTGCTGATTGCAAATTACACACACCAAATGTGAAGTCTGTAAAATAATCTCTTAGATTACACGTTTATAGTGATGTAATCTGACTACTTTTGGATTACATTTGGATTACTTTTGTGCAAACACTGATTCAATGTCACATATACTGAAGTAGGACAATCTTGGCATTTTCCGGGGTGTTCAGGCTGGTTTCAAGGCAGTTGCTAGGGTAATCTTTCTGGTTGCTAGGCAGTTGCGACTGTTTTGGGTGGTTGTGAGGGTGTTGCTGATTACATATTACACCACCAAATGTGTAGTCAGGTATATAATCTCTTAGATTACACATTTATAGTGATGTAATCTGACTACTTCTGGATTACATCTGGATTACTTTTGTGGTTATGTTTATTTGGTGTCGCATATACTGAAGTAGGATAACCATGGCGTTTTCCAGGGTGTACTGGCTGGTTGCTACGATATTGCTAGGCAGTTGCAAGGATAATTTTGGTGGTTGCTAGGCAGTTGGTACAGTGTTGTGGGTGGTTGTGAGGGTGTTGCTGATTGCAAATTAACCGGCAAATGTGAGGTCAGCAATATAGTCTCTTAGATTACACAATATAGTGATGTAATCTGACTACTTTTGGATTACATTTGGATTACTTTTGTGTTCATTTTTTTTTGATATCACATCTACTGAAATAGGATAATCTTGACATTTCTGGGGTCTTCTGCCTGGTTGCTAGAGAGTTGCTAGGGTAATCTTTGTGGTTGCTAGGCACTTGGGACAGTGTTTTGGGTGGTTGTGAGGGTGTTGCTGATTACAAATTGCACCACTTAATGTCAATACAGCAATGTAGTCTCTTAGATTACACATTTATAGTGATGTAATCTGACTACTTCTGGATTACATTTGGATTACTTTTGTGTTATTTGATGTGACATGCTGAAGTAGGACAACCTTGCCATTTTTCCAGGGTGTACTGGCTGATTGCTAGGATGTTGCTAGGCAGTTGCTAGGATATTTTTGTTGGTTGCTAGTAGTTGGTACATTGTTGTGGGTGGTTGTGAGGGTGTTGCTGATTGCATATTACACCGGCAAATGTCAAGTCAGCAATAATTACACGTTTAAAGTGATGTAATCTGACTACTTCTGGATTACATTTGGATTACTTTTGTGCAAATCCTTATTCGATGTCACATATACTCAAGTAGGATGATCTTGGCATTTTCCAGGGAGTTCTGGTTGGTTTCAAGGCAGTTGCTAAGGTAATCTGTGTGGTTGCTAGGCAGTTGCGACAGTGTTCTGGGTGGTTGTGAGGGTGTTGCTGATTACAAATTACACCAACACGTGTGATCAGTAATATAGTCTCTTAGATTACACATTTATAGTGATGTAATCTGACTACTTCTGGATTACATTTGGATTACTTTTGTGCCAATGCTTATTTGATGTCACATATACTCAAGTAGGATAACCTTGGCGTTTTCCAGGGTGTTCTAGCTGGTTGCTAGGGTGTTGCTAGGAAATATGCATTTTCTCGATAAAACAAATCTATTGTCTTGTTTGTTGTTTTAAGCAGTAATATGCCAAAATTAAGTGAGTTTTTCCTTGAAACAAGTAAAAACATCGACCAATGGAGTTAGCAAACATGTTTAGTATATATGAGTAAACATATATTTGTACATGCAAGTGTTTCAGTGTGTTTGTGTCCCATAATGGCATCCCATGCATCACTGAGGTTTTCTCTTCTACTCTCCTGCGTTCAGGGTAATGTCAGTCATTCTGTGTGTGTGTGTGTTTGTGTTGAATGGAGCTCAGAGAATAGAGGCCGTTCTGCCATTGAGCACCGCTGGATGCATCTGGCCATCATTTCTTTTGTCTGACCCTCATCCCTCCATTTCTCAATCCCTCCCTCCATCCATCCCTCCGTTCTGTTCTCGGGTAAACAGCTTTAAATACAGCGGCGTCATCCACCGGCGGTGCCCGCGTCTCCCAATACTCCAGCCAATTAAATGATAAGGTGCTCCGGGGCCCGAAAGCCTCAGAGATTCCCATTAAATGCTGAGTGTCGCGTCGGGATTAACAAAGCGTGTGTGTGTGTCGGCGTCGGGTTCGAGCGCAGGTTCACGGGTGACAGAACGGCCCACCATCGATCAGGCGCCCCACAATGCGCATCAGTAAAGCAGGTTTCACACACTCACAATGCGCTTTGTGTGGGGACTGAAAGGGATTTTTAATGAAAACACACGCTTCACAGGCCCGCATTACGCTTTCGATCGGGTCCCGACTCTCCTGAGAACAGGACTGACCATCAGGAACTGCAGAGACGGGACAAATCTACCAAAATGTCAGTGGTTTTGGTTTAAGGGTGAATGGTGTGTAATAATTTATAATAGTAATTTCATACGTCTCCTCTGTGAGCCTTATTCTCAAATGCTTAAATCATACATCTGTAAAAGATGAGATCACACACTCATCATCATTCACTCGTTTTCCTTTTGCTCAGATCTTTATTCATCAGGGGTCGCCACAGCGGAATGAACCACCAACTATTCCACCATATGTTTTACACAGCGGATACACTATATGCATTATAAATATGTGTGTGTGTGTGTGTGTTATAAGTATAAATAACTTATTCTGAGTTGTACCTATGCTCACCGGCCACTTTATTAGGTACACCTGACTAGTACTGGGTCGGACCCCTTTCACCTTCAGAACTGCCTTAACCCTTGGTGTCAGAGATTCAGCAAGCTACTGGAAATATTGCTCAGAGATTTTGCTCCATATTGTCATGACAG